CAGTTAAACGAGTTGTAAGTTACTCTGGACTTATGCTATTATAATATCAGTTAAACGAGTTGTAAGTTACTCTGGACTTATGCTATTACATTTTCACTTCAAAGTTGAGTTAGATATTAATAAAGACTTATAATAATAGTACAGTCGTATGTTACTATGGACTTGTGTTACATTACTACACTATCAGTTTAATGTTGAGTTGGGTGTTACTATGGGCTTATGTTACTAGAATTATAGTTGAAAGTTGAGTTCAATGCTACTATGAACACAGTCTGAGTAAAATCATCTATATATACACATAATTGTGCGTATCCACCAATCAAATGATGACAATGTAATAATTTATACAAAACCTTTACGATTTCAGTAAAACAAAAAGTTACTGATTTCAGTAAAACAAAAAGTTACGCGTCAATGTGATACTTAAAAACAACGTAAAATATAGACAACACTTGCAGCAAAACAGGGTCTCTGCTGAACAAATAGATGTTATAAACATCAGGATAAAACTACAGGTTGACTGTTATAACGAGTGTTATAATTCAATAGTTATTATATGGGTTTGTTTCCCCTTTTTCATACATTGTTTATCTTAACTAGGGGTAATGTCGGTTTCATCACTACGAAACGTAAGTTATGATCACGCTAACAAGTACAGCATTTTACAGCAAAAAAAAGCAGCAATCTTATAAATTTAGCAATGTAGATGGAATTAAACATCTATCCAGCGAAGCTTACCTTGGGCTGAAAGCCAGGTATATGAGCAGGAGGAGCAAAGAGAGTGGCACCACCACTAAGGATTGGAGACATGCCAGCATAGCCTGGTAGTCCGAACTGAGGAAGAACACACAATTAGACTCGACGATCAATGATTCTGTTTTATTGGTGAACAAATAAACTGAAATAACACAATAATCAATCCATCCAAGTACCGATTTTTTTTAGGCTTAATATAATATTGGGAACCTTCTCTTTCCATTCATCCTTTTTATTACATTTAATATAACATCTAACCTACTCTGGTAGTTTTTGTTTCCTCCCTCCTCCCACCATGTTTTTTATAGTAGAAAACAGTGCTTAAGATTCTCAAGCATTTAGAAATTTTAAATTCAGTTTGGCTGACTTTGATGGAATTTGAAGATGCTCAAAATGGCAGTCCATAGCTGATTCTGTTTTGATGACTTCAGTGGAAACTGAACATGTTTCAATCTACAGTCCATAACTGGATCTGTTTTGATGACTTCAGTGGAAACTGAACATGTTTCAATCTACAGTCCATCGCTGGTTCTGTTTTGATGACTTCAGTGGAAACTGAACATGTTTCAATCTACAGTCCATCACTGGTTCTGTTTTGATTACTTCAATCTCCAGTCCATAGCTGGTGGAAACTGAACATGTTTCAATCTACAGTCCATCGCTGGTTCTGTTTTGATTGCTTCAATCTGCAGTCCATAGCTGGTTCTGTTTTATTATTGTAATAAAGATCTTTTTCTTTACAGGTAGTTATACATAAAATATCAGGAAACCAAAGTAATAAGAAATCCCTGTTTATTTTCAAGCTAATGTTGCTGTCTACAAAGTGACAGAAAGAAACTTTAAACAAAACTCTGGCTAGTTTTTAAACATGCCTTATACAATAATCACTAGAACGTTAACTATAAAATATAATTTCCGAGTTAAGCATTTTCTCAAAACAGGATACATTTATATCTTAAAGTAAATTCATATTTATGAAAATAAATAAATAGTTTTTAATCCAAATGTCTTCTCAGTTATCAATAATGAATCGGTGGTTAATGGAAATGTTTTCTTTCTTAATAATTTAAAAAATGTATAGGAAATGATTCATTGCATTAAAAAATGACAAGAAAAGAGCTAATAAATAAACTTAGTATTCCGAAGTTCAAGTTCAATCTATATTTTGATCAACGTGTATTATTGGGTTATACTAGTTTCGGAG